CTTATATATATATATATATATATATATATATATTTATGTCTTAATAAGATACGTAAGTGTATAAACATATGAGTTTTAAAATCGATACGATTATGCGAAATATTGTTATTATATAATTAATGTTAAAAGAAAAGGGATTACATAAAATAGGTATAATAATAATCAATAGGTATTAGGAGAAGTTGTAATAGAAATTAAGTAATTAAGAATATTAAGAATAATAAGAAAATAGGACAATATAAAAATAAGAAAATAGGGAAATAAAAAAATAAGAAAATAGGAAACTAAGAAAATATAAAACTAAGTAAATAAGAAAATATGAATATAAGAAACTAAGAAAATATGAAACTAAGAAAATATGAAACTAAGGAAATATGAAACTAAGTAAATAAGAAAATAGAAAAATAGGAAAATAAAAAAAATAAGACAATAGGAAAATAATGTAATAAGAAAATATTAAAATAAAAAAAATAAGAAAATATTAAAATAAAAAAATAAGAATAAGAAAAGAAAGAGAGAGAGAAAGAGAGGGAAAGAAAAAAAAGGTTTGCAGAAGGTGGATGGGTGGGGGAGAGAAGGATGTTATAATAGGAATAAAGAAATATTAAGAAGAATAATAAAAAAATAAGTAAATAAGAAACAAAAAATAATAAAAAATAACTAAGAACAAGAATAAGATTATAATAATAAGTAATGAAACAGACAGAGAGAAAGAGAGAGAGAAAAAAAGAGGTGGTGTTGGTGGATAGGTTGGGGGTTATAGGATAAAGGAAAGAAAATCGAACGAACCACTACGAATTGTTATGAAGAGAGAGAGAGAGAGAGAGAGAGAGAGAGAGAGAGAAGAGAGAGAGAGAGATTCCTTAACGAAGGCAGGAGAGGACCCTTCCTGAACTTAATGATTCGGTCATTGCGATGGGTGGTAGAAGGGTGGTGGAAACGAATGGTGTGGGCCGGAGTTAGAGTAGGAGAAGTACTGGGGGAGGCAAGCGGCAAGCAAGCAGCAGCAGCACCAGCACCAGCACCAGCATCAGCATCACCAGCAGCAACAACAGCAGCAGCAGCAGAAGCAACAGGATCGGCCCGGTCAGGAAATTAAACTTGATCCTTAGTTTGAACGGGCTTTTTAATTTCATCGTATTCGAGGATTTGTTTTGTTGTTGTTTGTTGTTTGTTGCTCTGCCGTTGTTGTCATCACCATCATCATCATCATCATCATCATCAAAACTATCATCATCATCATCAGAACCACAATCATCAGATCTGCAATCATCAGACCTGGTGTTGTTAGTTTGTTCTTATTTGTCAGTGATTATTTAAACAAAACAAAAGAAAAGGGGATTCAAATTTAAAAAAAAAACATTCCCCCAAGTTCTTCTTTTTCTTTTTATTTTTCTTTTCGTGTACCACGTGTACATACACATACAACAACAACAACAGCAACAACAACATCTTCGTTAAAGTTCGACTGACAACGAAAGACACCCTTTTGGCAAAGAGGCACTCAGATGATTCCACTCGGTAGGCCAACTTCCAAACGCAACTCGGCGGACTCTAACAGCATCGAAGACACCACCACTACCACCACCACCACCAACAGCTGTTGGCGCCCACCACCTACTACCACCACCCTTAAAAGTACGTATAGCTTCGTAAAATGGGGTTAAACTGTTACTCAAGGTTAACCAACTTTTATCAGCTGTTTCTTTTTATACATTTATATATTATTTTTTACATATATATATATATATATATATATATATATATATATATATATATATGTCACAGGTGTGTGTACTACGTTTTATTAGGTTTGTTTTTTGTTTCTTTTGTTTTCTCTTTTAATTTTAGGATGATTCTAATTTTGTTGATGGTGGGGGAAAGGAAGGGGGTTGCTACATAATATTTTTAATACAATTTTTAATTAATATTTTTTTTTTCAAATAAATTATTAAGTAATGATTACCCATGTTACAAATGTAATTGTACTATTTTTCATATATATGTTATTTTTGTTTGGATTAAATTTGGTGGTGGCTACCTAGTGTTACATATTTAATTCTAATATTCTTTATACCATTTTATTTTTATTTATTTTACATTTGTTTAAATATACATATATATATATATTATATTACAAATAAATAAATGTTATGTTAATAATTTAGAAAATTTTCTCTAACTTTGGTTAAATGAAGGAAAGTTGTTTCCCCATGTTACAAATTTAATTGTACTACTTTTTTGTTTTTTTTTTTTTTAAATTCGTTTATGTTAGAAACATAAATTGTGTCTTTTTAATGTTCATATTTAAACCTAAAAAAAAAAAAAAAAGGAGATTGAGGACAAAGAAATTGATTTTTATTTGTTCTTTTATTCTAACTCGCGAATATTTGATCAAGGACAACCTTTTTCTAGATGGTGTATATACAATACATATAAACACATACTACTTTAACCGTGTTCCCTCGAAAAAAAGATTTAGGATTTAACAGTCGATCGAACAGGCCGAAAAGAGAGAAAGAAAGAGAGCAACAGAGAGAGAGAGAGAGAGAGAGAGAGAGAGAATGAGAAAGAAAACGTTTCTTCTCGAAGGTATATATATATATATATATCGTAAGGGGGATTAGTTAAGCGAAATAAGTCGAACTGGCATTAAGGAAACAGGTATATGAGTCATCGTTTTCGATACAATACACTTACTATAAAATAAGTCAGGAGAATTCATCGTTCAGGATAAAAAGGGACACATTTCTAATAATCTTCAAGTTTTTCTTGTCTATTTTGTTTCCGTTTTATTTTTATTAACAATAAGTATCAAGTGTCTTACTTTTATTTCTTCCTTTTTTGTTTCCTTTTTTTTTGTTTTCTTTTTATTTTATTCATTTTCTATTTTATTTTATTGAAGTGAACAACATTTCTTTAGAATGTTTTATTTGTTTTTTTCTCTCTCTCTCTCTCTCTGTTTTCTTGTGATATAAAAACTTGTAAGTAAGTAAACCCAATGTTAAAATAAAAGGATCAGGATAAAAAGGGACACATTTGTAATAATCTCAAGTTTTTCTTGTCTATTTTGTTTCTGTTTTATTTTTATTAACAATAAGTATTAATAAGTGTCTTACTTTTATTTCTTTTTTTATGTTTTTTACTTTTCTCTTCTATTTTCTATTTTTTTTTTTTTTTGGTTTTCTTGTGATATGAAAACTTGTTGTAAGTAAACCTAATGTTTAATTAATGTTAAATAACATTTAATTACAAATTTTGTTAGAAATACATCAACATAACAAAAAAAAAGTATTTCATATTTCACTTTTATTTTTTCTTTTTTCTTCTATTTAATATTTTATTCTTTTCATTTGTTTTTTTTTTTTTTTTAATCTGTTTTCTTGTTACTTGAAAACTTCAAAGTAATCCAACATTTAATTAATGTTGAATATCATTTAATTACAAATCTTATTAGAAAGAAAATGAGAAGTAGATATACGGAAGTGTGACAAGGTTTTAAAAGATAGATAAGGATGATTGATCGGTGGATAAAATGCTGGGAGGAGAGTAGGAGGGGATTGAATTTTATACTTTGAAAAGTGCACGAACTAGTCGGAAGTATAGTTTATTTGAAACACGTTTGATAGGACCGCTAATCCGAACAGATACGATCGAGAAACGGAAGGTGTAAACGAATGGTTCATGCGTCTTCTTGACCAACAGTTTAAACGTATGTACATATTTATAAGATCTGTATACATATACATAAATACATATATATATATATATACATATTATATTGAACTTTCTAATATGTTTGACGCGTGTGTTTCTTGACATTAAAGAAAAAGATAATATAGAAATAAATAAAAAAGAAAAAAAAACAAATTGAAACAGGATTCTCTCATAGTTGTATTATTATTATTATTATTATTTAAAAAAAAAAAAACCCAGACAACAAATTGATTAATTTTTTCTTTTTTTAATTCTTCAATTACGGACATAATAATAAAAAAAAAAAAAAGTAAAATAAAATCAAATCAAATAAAAAAAAAAATTGAATATAAAATCGATACGAAAAATTATATTCCCAAATAATGATGCAATTTATTTTTCCCCTTTTCTCATTCCCCCCTTTCAAGATGATGAAATAATATTCAACGTACGACTTTTTTTTC